CACTTCTGTTATTTTATCTGATTCAACAATTCCCCTAAAAATTTCACTTACCTGGTTCTTCAACCAAGTTTTCTTTAATTAAATCGGTAAATGATTTTAAGTTTTGAGCATGATTTCGTAGTGTTTCTCAATACTGATTTATTGATTTTTTATTTATTTTCTTACTCTCCCCGTGCAAAGAACGGGTATTCAGCTAGTTATATTATAAAAATAAGTTCCACCTCTAGAAAAATTTTAAAAAATATATAAAACTATTCTAACTTTCATTTAAATATTTATAATATTCATCTAGGACCAAAGAATCGTCTTTCATAACTTTTCTGTTGGATTTAATGTTCAACTGAGGGAAAGGATCACGCCTTCACCTTAACAGCATTTTGCAAGAAAAATTTTTAGTTAATAATTCAAGAAGTAACCGCTAAATAATATTTAATTTTTACAAATTATTTATTTTTGGTAAGTTTTAAAATTAGTCGTTAATCTTTTCTTCAAGAAATAATTTTTTTTAATCTGAATTTCGTTGTCTATTTTCAGTTCATTTTAATTGTGACATTTATTTCTCATAACAAAAAACCCGTTGAAGTATTTGACAATTACTAGCCCAATGAGTTAAATATTTGATCTTTCATAAAGAATCGTACGAATGCCTGTAAAAATAGAATTATTTCGCATTTAATAAATTAAAGCATTTTATAATAATAAAATTTAACATTGTGTTGTTAATTAAACTGTTATTGCTTTCAAATCACTGTGAATTTTAAATACTGTCCCTAAATCTCATTTGATTAAATATTTCGTGAAAATCGCCTGTTTTAAATAATTATTCAAAATAATAACATCAACATTATGATAAGCATTTACTTCAGACGACAGATAAGTTTTTTTTGGATTGAATAAGGGTGGATTATCTTATCGAATGCATGAATATATTCTTTTTGAACATTCTTCAAGAAATAATTCATGAAATGAAGTCTTTAAGAATTGATGACATTTTCAAATCTTCAAGAATTAGGAAACGTAGTAATGCAAAAATATTTTGTGAATCAAAAGTAACTGAAAATTATATCTGCGTAGAAAAAGTTTTTATATGGAGCTTTTTCTGTTTCTTTAAAATTTATTGAATTGCAGAAATTACAGAAATATGGTGAGGGGCGTTTCTGTTATCTCTCTAAACGGGAAATTTTGTTTGGTCATTCGTCATATTTTCGAAATTTCATTTTTATAATTAAAATTCACTTTATTCAGATAAAATTATGAACAATGCTTTGTTTAAAGTTCTTATTCTAAAGCTCCGAAGATTGGGGAACAATAAATAAAAGAAAGCTTTAATATGAAATCGGGGTATTAAATAAAATTTCTCTCCTAGGGCATAAGTGGATTTCTCTTGTGATTATAAAAGAAACTTTGCTCCAATAGAAATGACATTAAATTGGAGGGCATTAAATTGGCGAAAAAACGGTAAAAATTAAATCAAACTGAGAATTAGAAGAGTAATTTTTAAAATAATCATTTTTATTTTTTCGCTTTTTATGCTAGTTTTATTTATTGAAATATTATTTATATTATCTGTAAAAATTTTGTATGAAGTCACCTATACCAAATCCGCATCTACTTTATTATTGCTCACATATTTTAATTCAACAAACATAAATTATAACAATTATAAAACATAAATTATAAAACAACAACAAACAAAAATCCGTATTTTGNTTTTTTTTTTTCTTTATCTATTGAAAATATATTTTAATTTTAAAGCACGATTCTCAGAATATTTATTTTATTTTGATTCGGTGTTCGACGAGATGGGTCGATGACTAAATATCTTATTCGATTCATAAAATGGTGAAAAATTATGTCTTCCTCTTAGAATTATTTTCTTTCTTTTATTATAGTTCTTTATTGACTAGAATAAAAGTAAAGCTTTCTCGTAAAAGTCGATTGATTGCTAGAGGCTTCATTGAGAATGAGACAATATGGCAAAGTAGTCATGCATGCGCACAGGAAGCTTTTACTTCTCAGACAAACTGGTATCTATTGATCTGAAGCTAAGGTGAGCGGCCACTGGGGATTGAACTTCAATTCTTCACAACTGCTCAATGTCTTACCCATACACCAATCACAGCTTGTGGACAAGAATAATTAAGTATAAATTTGTTGTATCAGTTATAAATAGGTGAGGAAAATTTTCAAATCAGCAACAAAAAATATTTTTTTTTATGGAAACTAATAAATTACGTTGTTAATAATGATTCGGTCAAATTCAAAATTCCATTCAGAGAAATGAGAATTTCCCCTCTCGCAAAAACATAAGCTCTCGCTGCTATATTACAGAGAATGTGATTACCTCAAATAGAAAGTGAAAATAGCAGTAAATACTATTAAATACTCCTTTTTTGCATATTTGTGAAAAACTTTCAAACCATTTGTTGTCTTTCATGCGTTAAAGTTATGAAGAAAAAAACATTTTCTCGATGAATTTCATTTAAATGATTTTTAAAAGTAAATTAGAGCAGTGGTTATTTTAATTCTAAAAATATTTTCTCACGAGGTGAAGTATTATTATTATTTATTGATAACCGATTAAATTACTAAAAAATAAACTAAAATTGTTTTATTTACTATTACTTTTAATTTATTTTCCAGTCAAATAATATGTGTATAAATGTATGACAATTTTATCCTATATTCGAAGTAAAGAAAATTGTATTAAAGCCCTCCACCAGTAAAAAAAGGGGAAAACCTAATGCAGGGTGGTGGTCAGAGTTAAAGATGACAGTGCAGGTCAAAAAATAAGTTATCCTGGAGGAATCTTCTGCAGAAGACTTTGGCTCACCCTGGCTTGTTATGCAAATGAAGAGCTTGGTGAAAGAACCGGCACTTTAGTGAATTTGAGTAAATGTGTGCAAAAACTTATACTTTTGCTTTCTCGTTTGATCTATATATTTTTCGTATGTTTGTGAAAACACGACTCAAAAACGTTTTTTGGGTATACTTATTTGAGTCTAATTATTTCATAAAGGAATATTTTAATTCATTTTGTGCTTAACATTTACTTGTTTCCACGCACGATTTCTAAAGCTTTTCTTATCGAAAATGATTTTGTTTGAAAAGATAAAATATTATATACACTAATCCTTATAATCATAAAATAAAATTTAAATTGAGAACAAACTGGTATCAAATTTGATCTAGCCTCATAAGTCCGAAAATCGATCAAAAACGATTCAGAGACAACGCGAGCTCCATTTTAGCGGAGTAGATGTTTCACCAATATGTATCTCTTTAATTGACGAGAATTCAGTAATTTTTGATTTTAAAAGAAGTATTCTTTACAAGTACACTTCTGTTAAGAATAGTTGAACCTCGCAACCATAGTAATCGCCGCTGTTTCAGACGAATGGGAATTCTTTTCTTAGTCAGACTGTAGCCGGTTTTTCAATCCAATGAATACTCAAATAGTGTCGCTCAGCCGGTTTTCCCACTGATTGTCTCCGGAAAAAATGATAAATAAATGTTATATAGTTAATTAAAGCTAAAATAACAACTTTTTCAAAGGAATCTCAATTTTTTAAGACAATGTCACATAGCCAGCTCTTCAAATGCGAAGATATCTTGTATGAATCCTTAAATTAATAGCTTCTTTGATAGTCATGCTGATAAACACCTGTTTTATATCTTCTTTTTATTTAATAGAAATATTTGTAATTTTGATTTAAATCAATACCCTTCTCATCTTAAGGAAAAATTAAATTTAAATCAGAATTTTCTATTCATACAAATTCAATAAAATGACAACATTCTACTTTGTTTCATAAATTTTAATTTTATTTTAATTAATATTCAAATTATTTCAATATTTATTAAAATAAAGCTGATGAAAGTTTTGCTTAACAATTAATTGTCCCCAATGCTTATTAAAATTAATATATTTCTAATAATAAAATTATTGGAATTTGTAACTGATACCAGGAAATTGTTACTAACCCACCGCTTATGGTGATTGATTTAATCAAGGAAAGTTTGGAAGACTGGAGAGTATTTACAATATAGATTTGTCTTAACCATATATACCACTGTTTCAAACATAAAGAAATAAAAAAAAAAAATCTTTTTTTCCTCTTTATTATTTTATTTGTCCATGATTTAGCAATTAAAAAGAATAAAGTGGCAGTTTTAAGCAATTTTTCTGTTCTGATAAATTTCTGTCTTATGATGCGTCCATTTTTTCATTTTCTTCTCACAATTAATAAATTTTTTAGAGAGGAATAACTAATAATTTATCATTTGAAACATGGCTTATTTTTTCGAGTGTGCTTATTTCACTGATTGGGGAAACATACTTTCTGCTACGGTTTGTCTAAGGTTAGAACTACCCTCGCCACAAAGTCTGAGTCCGTCTGTTGCTACTGGAAACAAGAATAGCGCATTTCAGGGCTTCTCTTCACTCTAACACAGTAGACCAAAGGAAAAGATTCCCGTTCTCTCCCCGATCCGAGCCAAAACTTGTCCTAAATAACGACACCACACCCCTATCTAAATAGTTGCACCTCGTTACCATAGCCACCGCCACGGGTCCAGACGAATGACCTGGGGCACTCTTACTTTAGACAAACTATATATATACTTGAGTTCAGGGGCGTACGCAAGGGGGGAATGGAATGCAACTTGCTTTTCCATTCTTGCAGAATGCAGATGAAACAACTGATATTGCAGGTATAGAGCAATTATCGTTATGCGTTCGATATGTCGATAAAGAAAATTTTAACATCACCGCAGTTTTTGCAATTCATTCCGGTGCATGACTTAACCGGAAAAGCAATAGCAACAACAATATTAGACCAATTACAGTCTATGAAAGTTGATATAAAAAAGTTACGTGGACAGGGGTACGATGGTGCTGCATCAATGAGTGGAAAAATAAATGGTGTACAAGCCCACGTAAGAAGTATTGTCCCATCATCACTCTATGTACATTGCTCTGCTCATAGCCTCACTTTGGCTGTATCAAATGCATGCGAAATAACTGGCATTAGAAATTGCTTAGGGACAATTAAAACATTATACGACTTTTTAAATACGCCAAAAAGACAGTATGTCCTATCTTCAGCAATAGAGGAGATGGAAACCAGCTCTAAGAGGGAGAAAATTAAACAGCTATGTGCAACCCGTTGGATGGAAAGATACGACTCAGTAACCGCTGTGGTGGAACTTTTCGAGCCTATCGCCGAAACACTACAAAAAATATCAGAATGGAAGGATAAGGAATCAGCTACCCAGGCTAATTCTTTACTGTGCACAGTATCTAATTGCCAGTTCGTAATATCTCTTTTGTGCATTTACAAAGTTTTCACCATAACAATCCATCTCTGTAGATACCTACAAAAAACAAGCATAGATTTGATAGAGGCAGTGAGTCTTGCAGAAGATGTCATTAAAGATCTAAAATTAATGCGTGAAAATGCCACTGAAACATTCTCTGAAATATTCAGCTCTTCTTCTCTTATGCTAACAAGCATTGGATCTTCCACTTCCATGCAAATCCCTAGAATAACAGGAAGACAGAAAAATCGCGATAATTTTCCCTCATCGACACCGGAAACATATTTCAGAGTTAGTGTTTTTATTCCATTTATAGAAAATTTTATAACACAATTAAACTTAAGATTTGTATCGCATCGTGATATTTTGAAAGGATTTCAGTGTCTTCTACCTGCCGATCCTTTCATTTGCCAACCTTCAAACATAAAGGCTTTTGAAGCATTAGTGGAATTTTACGCTGGAGATTTGGATACCTGTAAAGAAAGCCTTAAGTCTGAACTAAAACTCTGGTATAAAAGATTAAAAAGGATTAGTGAAGACGGAGGTAGTGTTCCAAAAACTGCGGCGGATGCTCTTGGAATGTGCAATAAAGATATAACACCAAACATTTTCAAACTCCTAGAAATATTGGTCGTTCTACCTGTTTCAACGAGTGCAAACGAAAGATCCTTTTCGACTTTGCGCCGTTTGAAGACTTATTTACGCAACTCAACGGGAAATAATAGAATGAATGGATTGGCGCTCTTAAGCATTCATAGAAAATTTACCCCAGCTGTCGAAGACATTTTAAACGAACTTGCAAAAAAAAACCCGTCGTTTGGATATTACAGTATAAATCAATAAATTTTTAGCGTGTTTGTATACTGGTTTAATTCCCTATTTGTTGGTAAGTCATTTTTTAGTTAAATTCATTGGTTTTCTATGGAATATTCACATTTATATGGTTATTATTTAGGTAGCTGTTACAGTATGAGTAGTTTTTTCTGGCTTGATTTATTCCTACTTTTTAATAAAAATAAAATATTTTACCTCTTATTATAAAAAAAATTATATTCTTAAACTTAAAAAATAAAAACAAAATTTAACTAAACAATGTTGTCGAAATAAAAAGTCAAAATTGTCTAGCTGTCTAAATTAGGGAAGTAATAGTGCTTTATTACATACTCGAATTTCTTTTGGTAATTTCTGAAAATTATGCACCCCCCCCCTTGAAAAAATTCTGCGTACGCCACTGCTTGAGTTTATAAACTTCAACCCAAAGTTTTATTATGTAAGAACTCTTAAAATTTTGTTTTTTCATTTTAACAAAAACATTTTTACAAATATTATTGATTTCTTATTGTTATAGTTATAATTTATTATTTATTTATTTATTTTTAAGCGAGAGACGGGAAAAAAAAGAGTTAGTCTAAGAACCGTCTGAATGAAGTGGGTATTTTAAAAACAGTTTACTCTATGATATGAATATCTATACAGGATGCTTTCTAATCCGTCTTAAAATTATTTGTTTTAAGAATTTCTGACAAAAATGAAGCGAGAAAAAATTTACTGATAATCAATATTTGAACAAGGGAAAAACAGGATCCTAGCTAAAATCTAATTAATAATTATTGAGAATATCTATAGCATCAAGTCCTGAGGGATGGAAAGACAAACATCTTCATGGTTCAAGACAGTTAGAAAACAAAAATCATAAAAAAAATTTCAACAATTAATATTTTTTTTCCAAAAAAAAATTTTTTTTAAGAAGAAGGATTGGGGTAATTCTTTTCCTTTTTAAAAGTTTTTTTTCTCTACCTCTCTAATTACGACCTTTCATTTAATCAAAAGTTTGAATTATATTTATTTAAAAGTTTTTGTTGTTGTCAAAAATACAATTTCTTTTTAACAAAAAGGCTTAATTAAATTTATATTTTTGCTGTACAGAATATTTATTTAAAAGAGATATAAAAATAATACTATTTTCTGAGATGTGGTGTTTAACCTTTGCATTTGACCATTAAAATTTAAAAGTATCCGAAGTAATTTTAAAAATTGCTTTCGCATAATCCCGAGAAAAAAACTGCTTTATCCTAATTTACGAATCCTAATTAATCGATAACCAAATTGGTAAGTTAAGCAAGCTAAACAACCAAACCAACAAGGTACGCAACTATTTGGAGACCTATTTGAATGCAATTTTTGCTAATAATTATTAGAAATTATAAAATTGAGATAAAGTAATGTTGTATATACAATGCGCACGAACAGCCAGTTCATAAACGGAAGGAAGTTTTAGAAGTCTACAATGGTCATAAACTAAGCAATTCTCAATCTTTGATGTACTCTACCTTTCCGCCAAATTTGTTGGTTGAGTATTATAAAATTGATATTTTATTTTTATAAATTGATTTTCATCGATTTTAACTATTGATTAACCATTATACAGAAATTATAAAGAAATTATAAAGAACCATTATAAAGAAACTAAACTGTGTATGAGCTTAATAATCAGTTCTAGATATTGTTTGGTTATTAAAAAACATGCCTAGAAAATGTAAAATTTAACTATATATAAATTAATACGCTTTGAACTGTACAAGATTTATAAGCAACTTGAAAACCTATTTTCAACTAAGCTGTAGATCTACAAAATCTACACAGATTCTACAAAACCTATTTTTGCGTATCATCGTGAAATAAAACCTTAAATCATTTTATTTTCTGCATTTGCAGAAGTTTTTCTTATTAAGATGATATAATACAAGTACAAAGAGGGAGATCAAGACAGTAAAGAGTTATAATTTTTCTAAAAACTGTGCTCAAATATAATGAAAACTCCCTTCTTGTATTAAAGTTAACAGATTTGCATAAAATATCTTTTCAAAACTTAAAAAAATAAACGTACTTGCATCTCCAGTTAGAGAAAGAACTGAAAAAGTTAGTAGAATGGTTATTAAAGGAACAATCTTCATTTTCTTCTAGAATATGTCGCGCTTTTCTTAAGTCTGAAAAAGGAACGTTTTTGACTCTTCTTTAAATATGATTGTTTCATTTGACAGCTTACTCCCACTAAATGTAACACTTGCATTTTGATTTTCTGGCAGGTGTTGCGTCAAAAATAACTATGTTTTCATTATTTATTTATTTTTGACTTTATAATGTTTTTAGACGCTTTAAAATCATATTTCTACGCTGATGCGAAAAGATTTTTTAAAAAATGTATAGGGGAGAGTCGGGTACCCCCGCCCACTGTCAATTTCATATGTATAGAATATTTTTTCAAGTCAATGGGCCATCGGACATTAATAGGCTTGCTAGAAAGGAAT